CTTATTTTTCCATTACTGTGGTATTTTGAACAAATAAAAATACTTTGCTTTAGATTCCTTCAATATTATTGAGAGAAAAGAAAATAAGAGAGTTAGACCTTCAATGAGCATCTAATCAACCAAACAAGCACGAGAGAGACAGAGAACAGAGAGAGAGAGAGAGAGAGGAGAGAGAGAGAGAGAGAGAGAGAGAGAGAGAGAGAGAGATGGAGATGTCGTGTAACTGCATTTGTTGCATGCAAAAAAGCATAAAATGAATTTACGAGTTCCAGTAAAGACCTATTTTCAAATATATTCAGGGATTACCATGTATGTATGTATGTGGAACATTTTATGTGCTGTTGTATTTGCATACACAATGATATACAGATATGCATACACATGTTTACACAGACACACACACACACACACACACACACACACACACACACACACACACACACACACACACAAAAAAAAAAACAAAAATGCACAGTCAGTGGAGAAGTCCAAGGCTCAAGGGATCAGAGGAAAACGGTCCTGGTAAGGGAGAATGAATGGAAGAGCAATGTAAATGGATGAAACAAGAATGCGAGATTAAACTAGGTGAGCTGTCTGTGAAAATGGAGAAGAGGATGGAGGCAGAGAAGAAGAAATGTGAGTCACAAGCTGAAGCTGCAGAAGCCAGAATGTGGGCCCTAGAATACAAGGTAACTATGCTGAAGTGAGTTAAAGTGCTATTGGCCAGAGGAGACATGGCATATGAAGCAAGTTTTCCCGTATTTATTAAACGAGGAGCCCAACAGAAAGGAAGAGACAAGACTTATGCTAAGGCCCTATCAGTCCGACAAGGCCGAGGAATATAGGAGAGACATTAGGAGAGGGATAGCAATAAGTAAGGGGGGGGGAGAAGGCAGAGGAGGAGACAGGTCCCATGCAGAGGTATGACCATGCCACCAAGAGTTACAGAAAAAATAAAGGTGACAATGGCTATGTACAACTGTGACCCAGAGACATAGAGGAAAAGACAATGGGAGGAGGAGAGACAGAAGTCAGTGTTTATTCATAGGCTTCAGGAGAGTGAAGGGAGTACACATAATGATAGACGGCAGATAGAAAAACTGGAGATTGAAAATAACCAAAAACATGGGCGAGGAGGACATGATGGGTATAATAAATTTTCAGAGAATGGGAGGATATCTGAAGGGGAAAAATCAGCCAGTCAAACTGATTTTCAAGACAGAAATGGTGCAGAACATGATCCTGGAAGAAAAAAACACAGCTGAAGGAATCATCAACATAACAGAGGGTGTTCCTAGACCACAAGAAAATAGCAGAATGACAGCAGCTTCGGGAAAGACACAAAACCGAAAGGGGCTTGGAAGAGCAACAAGGAGAGTCAGCAGAGCAGGGGCAGAGCAACAACTGCAAGGACACACACAACCATTTTCAGAACCCCACAGCTAAATACACTATCCTAACACAGACCACAATCCACACTTATAGGCCTCACCCCACAATACACTGTAGAATCCCACAGCACACTGCCAGGTCCCCCGCCTCCACTGACTCCCCCCCGGATCAGAGTATTGGAACGGAAACTGATGGTATGATACACCAACAGTGAGGGAATAATGAACAAGTGGAAGGAGTGGCACTAAAGAATCAAAAAGGCATCACCGAACATCATAACTCCACCGAAACCAAGCTCACAGGAATGATAACAGATGTCATCTTTTCAACGGGAAATCAGATCTTGAGGAAAGACAGAGGGAACAGAGAGGTGGGGGAGTGGCACTACTCATCAAAAACCAATGAGATTTTCATGAACTGGAGAGAGGAGACGGAGGAGAAGAGACTTCACAAGTGGAACACTTCAGTCTGGATGTCCCAAGGTGGTAATTGCAGTGATGTGTAACCCACCACAGAGCAGCAGGAGGCCAAGGCAGGAATATGACGAGAGTAACAGAGTGATAGTTCACACAAGTGGCCAGAAGGGCTCGTGTGAGCAAGGCAAAGCTCATGATTGTGAGTGACTTTCATTCACAAAGAAATTGACTGGGAGAACCTGGAGGCATATGCGAGCCCAGAATTGTGAAGGGCTAAGATGAGGAGTGGTACTGGGCAATCTCATGTACCAACACGTAAGGAATACTTCGAGAGAGAGAGAGAGAGAGATAGAGGAGAGGATGAACCAGCAAGACTGGACCTAGTATTCAGCTTGAGTAGCACAATATTGAGGACATCACATAGGAAAGACCCCTCAGGACCAGTGACCACGTGGTTTTGAGCTTCGAATACATAGTTACAAGTGTAGAGGGCAGCAGGAAGGGCAGAACAAATGAAACCAAACTACAAGAGAGGGACTATACAGGCATGAAGAATTTGCTGCGTGAAGTTCAGTGGGACATAACACTGGAAGGGAAATCAGTAAATAAGATGATGGAATATATGACAACAATATGCAAAGAAGCTGAGGAAAGGTTTGTACACAAAGGACACAGAAATAACCAGAAGGCCAGGATGAGACCTTGGTTCACCCAAAGGTGCAGAGAAGCCAAAACAAGTGTGCTAGAGAATGGAAAAAGTATAGAAGACAAAGGACACAGGAGAATAAGGAGAGCAGTCATAGATGCAGAAATGAATATGCACAGGTAAGAAGGGAGGCCCAAAGACAATACGAAAATGATGTTACTGTACAACAGGAGGACAACAGTAGTCAAATATGAGATAATCAGGCTGAGGAAGGAAGGAGGGAAGATCACAAGAAACGACTGAGAAGTATACGAGGAGCTCAACATGAGATTCAAAGATGTGTTCACAGAGAGACAGAAGGGACTCCAGAAAGATGTAAAGGTGGGGTACACCGAGGAAGAAGTGAAGAGGCTGCTATGCAAGCTAGATACCTAAAAGGCGATGAGGCCAGATAACATGTCTGTGGGTCCTGAGAGAGGGAGCAGAGGCGCTATGTATGCCACAAACAACAATCTTCAACATATCTATCAAAACAGGGCGACTACCTGAGGTATGGAAGACAGCAAATATAGTCCCAGTTTTTAAAAAAGGAGATGGACACGAAGCATTAAACTACAGACCAGTGTCACTGACATGTATAGTATGCAAAGCCATGGAGAAATTTATCAGGAAAAGAGTAGTGGAGCACCAAGAAGGAATGAACTTATCAGCGACAGCCTTTTCAGGGACAGGAAATCCTGTGCAACAAACCTACTGGAGTTCTATGACAGGGTGACTGCAGTAAGACAAGAGAGAGAGGGGTGGGTGGCTTGCATCTTCTTAGACTGTAAGGCGTTTCACATAGGTTCACACAAGAGATTAGTGCAAAAGCTGGAGGACCAAGCAGGGATAACATGGAAGGCACTGCAATAGGTCAGGGAATACTTGTCAGGAAGACAAGAGTGAGTCATGGTAATTGGTGAGGTGTGAGAGTGGGCGCCTGTGACGAGCGGGGTTCCACAGGGGTCAGTCCAAGGACCAGTGCTGTTTCTGGTATTTGTGAACGACATGACAGAAGGAATAGACTCAGAAGTGTCCCTGTTTGCAGACGATGTGAAGTTCTTGAGAAGAATTCAATCGGACGAGGACCAGGCAGAACTACAAAGTGACCTGGACAGGCTGCAGGCCTGATCCAGCAACTGGCTCCTGGAGTTCAACCCCACCAAGTGTCACATCATAAAGATTGGGGAAAAGCAAAGAAGACCGCAGATGGAGTACAGTCTAGAGAGCCAGAGACTACAAACCTAATTCATGGAAAAGAACCTTAGGGTGAGTATAACACCAGGCACATCTCCTGAGACGCACATCAACCAAATAACTACGCAGCATACAGGCACCTAGCAAACCTAAGAACAGCGTTCTGACATCTTAATAAGGAATCGTTCAGGACCTTGTACACTGTGTATGTTAGGCCTATATTGGAGTATGCAGCACCAGTTTGGAACCCACACCTACCCAAGCACATAAGAAAACTAGAGAAAGTGCAAAGTTTTGCAACCAGACTAGTCCTGGAGCTAAGAGGCATGTCCAATGAGGAGAGGTTAAGGGAAATCGACCTGACGACACTGGAGGACAGGAGAAATAGAGGTATATGATAACGACATTTAAAATACTGAGAGGAATCGACAAGTTGGACAAAGACAGGATGTTCCAGAGATGGGACACAGCAACAAGGGGTCACAATTCTAAGTTGAGGACTGAGATGAGTCACAGGGATGTTAGGAAGTATTTCTTCAGTCACAGAGTTGTTAGGAAGTGTAATAGTATGATATGTGATGTAGTGGAGGCAGGATCCATGCATAACTTTAAGAAGAGGTATGATAAAGCTAATGGAGCAGGAAGAGTGACCTAGAAACAACCAGTAAAGAGGCGGGGCCAGGAGCTATGATTCGACCCCTGCAACCACAACTAGACGTGTACACACACACACACACACACACTCACACCACACACACACACACACACACACACACACACACACACACACACACACACACACACGAGCGCGCGCGCGCACACGCACACAAAACGGCCATACCACGTTGAACGCAGTTTCTCGTCCGACCAGCGAAGTTAAAACAACATAGGGTTTGGTTAGTACTTCGATGAGTGACCGCCTGGGAACTCCAAATTCTGTTGACATAAATCTTTGGCGGGGCCAGGAGCTATGAATCGACCCCTGCAACCAAAAATGGGTGAACACAGATTACTGTACAATTTATAGTTTGTACACTGGAATAAGAATCATTGTACGACTTTTCTACATAAATTGTAGTGTTATTTTTTCTTAATAAACTCCTTTGACTTAGGAACTTATAACTTGGATTTATTTACGCAGTGATGTAAATTTAACATTAAAAGCATTTTAACTGTAATAATGTTAATGTTTTATACAATTAATTCCCTAGGATAGCAGCAAGTTTGTAATGTTATATGTTCAGTATATTGAAATTGATGTCTATAACCTCTAGTTGCTATGTTACCTAAATTTCCGCTTTTCCTTCTAGGTCCAGCTGTGCTGTGTCTAGGACTAGCAACTCGCTCAGCAGGACTTCAGCAACACCGAGCCCTCAGTTTAGCCAGAGGAAACTCCCACTCTTATCGCTCCTACCCTTCTTCCTCTTCTCCCTCTTCCTCCACCTCCTACAGGAATAGGAGCCCGGAGAAGGGAGTAGATACCCTCAGTATGGATCACGAGCTAGGGAGGGGTAACACCCACCTCACTCTCTATGGTATAGAAGTGCCAGTATACAAGTTCAGGGGAGAGGATGCGGAACTCAAGTGTCGCTATGACCGCGGTACTGACCCGCTATACTCAGTCAAGTGGTATAAGGACGATCGAGAGTTCTACCGGTAGGTAATTATCAGTTCTTCCTCAGCATACAGTCTCATTCTTATGACTTATGGACGTAGGATCGAGCCTCTACATGGGTTTAATACAACATATTATCACAATATTGAAAACGTGGGTCTAGGTTCCATTACACAAGTCCGCAAAAAAAAAAAAAAATAGGAACGTTAAAATTTTCTAGCTTGTGTGGGTTAGTTGCCTAAATCAGACATATCATGGTCAATAATTTGATCTCGTCATTTTCCAAGCTGGACAAACTTTAAGGTGAATGTCATATCTTCAAATCAGTTTGTTATCAACTGGTCTCTGTGGAGTCAAAATATATTCAGGAGGACCAGAAACTCGAATAGAGCATATTCTTTTTTTTGTTTTGTTCAATCAGTAGTTTATTCATTATCTGTATACACTGTCTTTCAGCGATGTTCATTGCACCAGGTCTTAGAACACTGTTACCTCTCTCTAGTCAACCATTCATATCCTTGTGAGCTGGAAAAGTGAACTAATTTGTTTCCAGTAATACCTGGAGAGCCAAGCTGAAGACACTGGAACGGCAAGCACTCACAGGGGGTAGTTCAAGCAGTAAACTTTAATCTTATCTCAATATATATATATATATGTCGTGCCGAATAGGCAGAACTTGCGATCTTGGCTTAAATAGCAACGCTCATCTTGCCATATAGGACAAGCGAAAATTTGTGTATGCAATAATTTCGCCAAAATCATTCTGAACCTAAGGAAAAAAATATATTTCACTGTTTTTGTTTAGTATTAAATTATTGTAAACAAATCTAAAATATATTTAGTTGGGTTATGCTAAAATAAATTGCGCTTGTTATAATAAGGTTAGGTAAGTTTTCTAAGTTCCTTTTGGTGCAAAATTAAAAATTTTTACATCAACATTAACGAAAAAATTTTATCTTTAAACGTATAGGAGAAAATTTTAGAAAGGACTTAATTTTAAATGAGTTCTTGCTAATTGACCAGTTTTACATATTCGGCACGACACACACACACACACACACACACACACACACACACACACACACACATATATATATATAATATTATATATATATATATATATATATATATATATATATATATATATATATATATATATATATATATATATATATATATGCGCAATAAGATCAGAGTAAACAGGTGATTTTAAAATATACAAAACAACCACTGTGAAAGAGTAGTGAGATTCCAAGCGCTTTCGTGACTTCTCACATTGACAATGTGAGTAGTCACGAAAGCGTTTGGAATTTCACTACTCTTTCACAGTGGTTGTTTTGCATATATATATAAGTAGTGCTGAAGGCGGCTGAGTGGCTCCTGCGGCTGAGTGGCTCCTTTTCCTGAGTGGCTCCCTTTCCTGAGTGGACTCCTTTTCACACCTATATGCTAATGACCTTGACCTCGCCCTCAACCCCCCACCCACGACCCCCACCCACGACCCCCACCCATAACCCAACCCTCAACCCCCACCCACGACCCCCCACCCACGACACCCACCCACGACCCCCACCCACGACCCCCCACCCATGAACCCCACCCATAACCCAACCCTCAACCCCCACCCACGACCCCCCACCCACGACCCCCACCCACGACCCCCACCCACGACCCCCACCCATGACCCCACCCATGTCCCCACCCACGACCCCCCACCCACGAACCCCACCCACGACCCCCAACCACGACCCCCACCAACGATCCCCACCCTCGACCACCTCACCCTCAACCTCCACCCACGCCTGCCCGACCGGCGCCCCACTCGCGCGTCTGCCCTCGCGCCCGCCAGCGCCTTCTGCAGCGTCGTCCGGATCGCCCCCGCTCCCCGAATTTTTTTTTTATTTTTTTCGAATTTTTTTTGAATTTCATTTTCTTATGATCTCCTCGGATCAAATTTTTGAGGTTCCCCCTCCCACTTTCACCCCATCCCAATTTTTTCGATTTTTTTTTTTCTGAATTTCATTTTCTTATGATCTCCTCGGATCAAGTTTTTTGGATTCCCCCCTCTGGGGGTAAGCATTCAAAATGGACTCCCACTTGCATCCCAAGTATTTCTCCTCCATCTCCTTGGATCAAGTTTTTCTCGATAATACAAAGACTCCAATTCCTCGGATCAAATTTTTCTCGAAATCAAAGACTCCATCTCCTCGGATCAAGGTTTTCTCGATAATACGAAGACTCCATCTCCTTGGATCAAGTTTTTGGATTCTCCCCTATGGGGGTAAGCATTCAAATGAACTCCTCCTATGGGGCATGGTACTTTCTCTTACTACAGCTCTAAACAAGTGTGACGTCACCCCACCTGTGTTTACTCGGCAGTCAGTGACGTCACGTGATGACCTCACACATACAGGCTGAATCTTGTCGACTTCCCCCTATGTCAGTGACGTCACGTGATGACCCCACACACACAGGCTGAATCTTGTCGACCTCCCCCTACACATTTTTCACTCTTAACCCAGGATAACCCAAATAATTTCACATTTTTTTTCGTTAATACCCACAACAATCCACAATTTCTTTACAAAATACAACACAAATCTAGATATTTTTCTCGTTTTAACTATTTCATCAGAAAAAGTCACCACAACACTTACAACTTATAACCACTTTTCGATAAATTCACTAGTCACAATTTTACATATTACGAAGTTAATACGCACACACACCTCACTTTACTTTGAACACCTTCAAAACACTCTAATAAATCATTTGAATACTCACAAAAATACCTTTGAACATTTCCAAACAACACTGAAACACTTCCAAAATATCATTTTGAGTACTCCCAAATACACCACTGAATACTACTAAAACACCACTGAATACAGTCAAAACACCATCAAAATCACCATAAATTAAGATCAACATAACAGACTAACACCCATTTTCACACAAATCCCCTCAAATCACTATAACCAAGAGGATTACCAATTTCTATGAGTACACTCACCTCCAACTAAGATATAACATGAGTGCAAACAACATGAACACAATCCAAACACACACGAACACTTATAACAGAATCACTTCTTTTTCGGTATCACTAGTTCGACAACAACGCCCACAACCCAAAACACCCACATCCCACAACACCCACATCCCACAACACCCACATCCCACAACACCCACATCCCACAACACCCACAACCCACAACACCCACAACAACCCACAACTTATAACCACTTTTTCGGTATCTCTAGTTCGACAACAACGCCCACAACCCACAACACCCACATCCCACAACACCCACATCCCACAACACCCACATCCCACAATTTTTTCTCGTTTTAACTAATTTCATCAGAAAAAGTCACAACAACAACCCACAACTTATAACCACTTTTTCGGTATCTCTAGTTCGACAACGCCCACATCCCACAACACCCACATCCCACAACACCCACAACCCACAATTTTTTCTCGTTTTAACTAATTTCATCAGAAAAAGTCACAACAACATACTTATAACATCTTTTTCGGCCACACTAGTTCCACAACAATACCCACAACCCACAACACCCACAACAACAACCTACTTATAACATCTTTTTCGATATCTCTAGTTCGACAACAACACCCACATCCCACAACACCCACATAAGAACATAAGAAAGGAGGAACACTGCAGGAGGCCCGTTGGCCCATACTAGGCAGGTCCTTTACAATTCATCCCACTAACAAAACATTTGCTCAACCCAATTTTCAATGCCACCCAAGAAATAAGCTCTGACGTGAAAGTCCCACTCAAATCCAACTCCTCCCACTCATGTACTTATTCCACAACACCCACAACCCACAACACTCTCAACCCACAATTTTTTCTCGTTTTAACTAATTTCATCAGAAAAAGTCACAACAACAACCCACTTATAACATCTTTCTGGGTATCTCTAGTTCGACAACAATACCCACAACCCACGACACCCACAACCCACAACCCACATCATCCTCAACAACAACACACTTATAACGTCTTTTCGGTATCTCTAGTTAGACAACAACACCCACAACCCACAACACCCACAACCCACGATTTTTTTCTCGTTTATACTAATTTCATCACAAAAAGTCACATCAACAACCCACAATTTATAACCACTTTTTAGGCATCACTAGTTCTACAACAACACCCACAACCCCCAACACCCCACAACCCACATCACCCACAAAAACAACCCACTTATATCATATTTTTTGGTATCTCTATTTCGACTACATTACCCACAACCCTCATCACTTACCAATTTATTCACAATTTATTCGATACAAATTTTTCCCCTTCTTTTTACTGAATCTTAAATGTAATACACATTCCTCTTTACATTACTAAAATTCTAATAAAATCCTCTCCATACCCATCTCCTTGTATCCACATAAATTGATATTATGCTCACAACAAATATTCTCACTACCCAACTACTGCGACATGTTTCAACACTCTTCATTCTTTTCCAATATATCATAACTTTTCAATTCTGTAATTTCTTTTTAAAATATTCACATATTACCTTTATTTTCAGTAAAATCTCCCCATATTTCATTAAATTTCTAATACAACCCTCCCCATACCCCTCTCCATCTCACCCACATTCTTTACATCCACTCACCCATCTCCCAACACACCTCTTCTGAACACACACAAAAATCACATTTCACATCCACAAATGCATCTCATCACCCATCTCAAATCCACTAAAATCACTGTAACCAAGATATTCACAAAACTCTATGACCACCTAACACACACACACACACACACACACACACACACACACACACACACACACACACACACACACCTAATCGACATGTGCCTAGGACAAAAATGGTAACTAACACCTCACTTTGAACACCTTCAAAACATTCTCATACATCATTTGAGACCACCTTTTCTCAATATCTCTTAAGAAATATTCTCTCATCCACAGCCTTTTTCATCTCACTACAGAACAACCCCAAGATTACTTCGAACACTCT